ATCAGGTAAATCATGTACGTAATGATTCAAAAGAACGACTATTGGACCTGTTCTTTACTAATGATTTTACCAACATCTCAATTGAGCGTGTTAACGAGGCTAACGCACTGACGGAAGTGGAAGATCATCATCCACCGATAGTAGCCACATTTGAGTGGCATGGAAACAATACAACCGAGGCCAACATCAAAACAAAGGCATTCAATTTCAAGCGTGCCAACTATAAGGACATGAATGCACACTTTGCAAATATTAACTTCACCGAATTATTCCATGGAAAGACAATCATCGAGAAGGTGAACTTGCTGCACAAGACTTTGAACGATGCAATCATCAAATTTGTGCCTACTTACATCGTCAAGTCGATACAAAAATGTCCATGGAAAAATAAATTCCTAATAACACTGAAAAATAGGAAAAATAAGGCATGGAAACGCTACAGACGATCAGGCTATCATCAGTCGTTTGAATGGAAATACATTTTGGCGTCTCGTGAATTCGATAAACTCAACACGGAACTCTACAACACATACGTGGAGAAAATGAAATCCTCGCTCAAGTATGACGCATCGAGATTTTGGCAATATGTCAATTCAAAGAAGAGCACCGACAACAAACCAAAAGTCATGCAATTTGGTGATGTGCGCACAGCAAACGATACAGAACAGGCCAACCTGTTTGCGAACCTCTTCAGTAGCAACTACGATGACTCAACGACTCAAGGCGTTCAACAATCGCCTACCGATGAGTCACAGCAAACTGAGGAATTCCAGCTCGACATCAATTTCGTGCTTGAAGAGCTGCAAGCCGTGAACACAAAGAAAGGTACGGGTCCCAACGGTATGCATCCGTTGATACTGAAAAACTGTGCGAGTCATTTGGCGGCTCCACTCACCGAGATTTTCAATGAATCATTGTCAACTGGCCATTTTCCTGACAAATGGAAACGCTCGAGTGTGTCACCTATTTTCAAAAAGGGGTCGAGATCGAAAATTGAAAACTATCGTTGCATTGCTAAGCTCCAAACTGTGGCGAAGTTCTTCGAGCATTTGGTGAACGTCAAACTTCTGTCTCTGGTACAGGACAAAATCACCAAAATGCAACACGGCTTCATGAAGTCCAGATCCACTGCATCTAATCTCACCGAATTTACCTACTATGCCCAGAGAGGCATAAATTCAGGTGCGCAAGTGGACGTTCTCTACACGGACTTCAGTAAAGCGTTTGACAGAGTAAACCACAAGAGATTGATTCTGAAACTCAGATCGTTCAACCTGCCAGACAATCTTCTTGCTTGGATCGAATCATACCTGTCAAACCGAACGCAATTCGTTAAGTATGGGAGCAGCGAGTCGAATGAATTCAACGTATCACAGGGCGTACCACAGGGTAGTCATCTCGGACCCACACTATTCCTGTTGTTCATCAACGACATAGTGGACGAAATGGACGACGTGTTCATTTCTTTGTTCGCCGATGATGTAAAAATCGCGAAAATCATCCACTCGAGCACGGATGCGGAAGCGTTACAGCGAGCCATCGACAAACTAAAGGTTTGGTGCGACGTAAACAATTTGCACCTGAACCTTGACAAATGTGCCGTCCTTACAATCACCACAAAAAGGAAGGACATCATCGACACTAATTATAAATACGGTGATTTTACCTTCAAGTGCGTACGGGACCACAAAGATCTCGGCGTCATCATTGACCAAAAGCTTAGCTTTATAAAGCACATTGACGCGATCACCTCGAGAGCTACAGCAGCCTTGGGATTCATCAAAAGATTTTTTTACGACATAACCGACGTTCAAACGCTCAAAACACTATACTACGCACTGGTTCAGTCTCATCTTGAGTATTGCAATGTTGTATGGCTACCAACTTATACCGTGCATATCGACAAAATTGAGAGCGTGTTGAGAAAGTTCACCCAGTTCGCCCGAAGAGAGTACCGTACGGCGGCCAACGGCTACAGTATCACCGACTACAACAAGCGACTTGAGGCGTTGAACATGACATCGTTGGAGCGTAGGAGAGTGAATGCATCTATTGTATTCATGTACGACATCGTGAATGGGATCGCAAATTGTCCCAATGTACGCAATGACATCGCAATTGGAGAGAGCGCACGTAGGTTAAGGCACACAGACTACCTAAAGATTAAAGATAAGCTCATGGACAAACAAATCAGAGCTCAAGTGCCTCAAATATGCAAGTTTGCAAACAAAGTGGCTGAACAATTCAATAACTCAACCAGCCGTGCTAATTTCATCTCGTCGATACGCAGCGAACAAAACCAAAAATTTAATATTAAATATTGACAAATTGTTATCTTACATCCCTACAAAATGTATAGAAATAATGATATTTATCCGTGATTTTTACACAAACTTTAAAATAAGTAGCAACATTAACTGTGATATAGCCATCCATTGAGTTGGTGATTAACTTTTGACCTGCCATTAATTTATAATGGAAACTACCGTTTATGTTAATGTATTTGCAAGTATTGTAATTTTTTTTTCTTATGTCTTTCGGTCTCTACTAAATTACAAATTCATAACTACCAACAGGGACTTGTTAGATTAGACGTAAAATTTTTCTTCAATGTATCACCTCTTGATAAATTGAATGATGACTTTTGCAGTCATTAGGGCCGTCACTACAGTGTTAACGCTTCAGTTAGTCTTTCATTTTTTACACGTTTAAGTTAGGCTATATTGGACCGTTTACATTTCGGCTACCTATGCATTTCCATGTATTGGTTAGGTCATCTTGTGTCAATGCTTTTTAGACCAAGTTGTTATACCAATAGAAAAAGACTATTACTTACAACTACTTATTGTATAAAATTACCATATATTGTACAAACACAAAAAGATCAGGTTTTTCACGACTCTTGGAGTCGTTTTCCTGCAAACCAAAATATTCAGCCAGTTTTTGGCGGTGTTAAATAAATAAATAAAATAAATATATTATTTAATTCAATTATAATATTATTACA